ATGTGCATACAATGCTTGGGTCATTTCTCCCCCCTGCCCCCACCCCCTCCCTTACCAGCCACTCCACCCCCTCCCTCTACCCCCCACCCCCTCGATACCTGGCAGAAACTCTTTTGCCCTTATCTCTAATTTTGTTGAAGAGAGAGTATAAGCAATAATAGGAAGGAACAAGGGTTTTTGCTAGTTGAGATAAGGATAGCTATACAGGGAGTTGACTCACATTAATTTCCTGTGCATGTGTGTTACCTTCTAGGTTAATTCTTTTTGATATAACCTTTTCTCTAGTTCCTGGTCCCCTTCTCCTATTGGCCTCAGTTGCTTTTAAGGTATCTGCTTTAGTTTCTCTGCATTGAGTGTAGGCCAGACTTTTAAAACATTTTAAAAAATTTTGGCAGTAAGGAGGATTGAACCCAGGTCTGTGTGCATGCTAGGCAAGTACTCTTATCACTGACCTAAATCCCAAGCCCAAAGTCCAGACTTTTCCCCTGACCTTCAGACTTATATACAACAGACTGCAGCCCATGTATCCACATGTGTGTGTCCCAGAAGAAGGCAAACAAAGCAAATTGAATTGTGTGTCCACAATCGAAGGCCTTACTTCTCCATCTTTCTACCCTCCTACCCTACTCAGCTTTGTGTCAGCCTTACCTCTGCTGTTTTTTATTTCAGTGTCATCACCATGATCCTTCCCAACCACATGGTAGATAGACTTAACTTTTCCTTGTCCCTTCCTTCCATGCCACTTTTATTTCATAAATGCCCTTTGAATTTATTCATGTCTTCTCATTTCAATAGCTAATACCTTGATTGGGGCCACCGTCACCTCACAACTGGATTATGGCAATCAAAATAACCACTGTGCTTCCAATATTGCTTTCTTTAATACAGTCCGTTATGGCCAGGGTGATTAGTACAAATCTGAGGATTCTACATGAGCTTAAAATACTTTAAGGATAAATTCCAGATTCTTTGACAAGGTTTATAAGAACCCTCAAGTTTAAACTCTGTTAACCTTTTTTTCTCTTTTATTTTAGTATATATTAATTATACAGTGGTATCTCATTGTGATTTTTCCATACGTGCATATAATGTTCTTTGATCAGATTCACCATCTCTATTACTCTTTCTTGTCCCCCTTCCCACTTTTTTGAACATTTTAAATAGATTTCGTTATTTTATTTTCATACATGCATATGAAATACTTTGATAATATTCACTCCTGTTCAGCCGCTCCTTTCATCCTTTCCCCTCTTGGTTCTCACTTACAAACAGTCCCTTGTTTTATACTCATATTATTCTTTTTTTTCATCTTTTAGATCTAGATTCTGCATATGAGAGAGAACATGCTATATTTGTCTTTCTCAGTCTGGTTTATTTTTCTTAACATGATGATTTCCAGTTCCATCTATTTTTCTGCAAGTGACATAATTTCATTCTTCTTTAAAGCTGAATAACACTCAATTATGTATATATACCACATTTTCTTTATCCATTCATCAGTTGATAGACACCTAGGATGATTCATAGCTTGGCTGTTGAGAGTAGTGCTGCTATAAACATGGGTGTGCTGGTATCTCTCTTATATGCAGATTTACATTCCTTCAGATATATTCCCAGGAGCATTATAGCTGGATCAGTATGGCAGTTCTTTTAGTTTTTTGAGGAACTTCACACTGACCCATTGCACTAACTTGCATTCCCATCAATAGTGTATATTATAAGGGTTCCTTTCTCCCTTCACAGCCTTGCCAGCATTTGTTGTTTTGCTGATGATAGTCATTCTGACTGGGGTGAGCTGGAATCTCAGGGTTGTTTTTGTTTTCATTCTCTTTATGGTTAAGGATACTGAACATTTCTTCATTATCTCTTTAATTACATGACAGCTTCCACTTTGACTCAGCTTTTATATTTAATTGTGCCTTCCTGAGCACAACTGTAGAGTTCTGGTCATAGAAACAAATAAGTGCAGAACCTAGTTGGTGCCATCTAAGTGAGTTATGTTTAGTTGGAGAGATAGAGTATGAAAAGAAATACAAAATTTCAAGTAGGCCAGTAAAAGATTGTTGAAGGAAACTACTGAAACTTGGGAGTACAGACTTTCTTCCACTTACCAGAGAAAAGAAATGTTTAGGATACAGTTTGAATCTGGTTTAATAAAACCAATCTTCCTTGAAGGGTGTGGAAGTGGAGATTCCCTAATGTTACAAGGATTTAAAAATGGTTCTGAGTGTGTCTCTGTGGTTCAAGTAGATTATTCCCAGAAGTAACTTATGACACATTTTCCTTCCTTCCTTCCTTCCTTCCTTTCCTTCTTTCCTCTTCTTTCTTTCTCCCTCCCTTCCTTTCCCCACCTTTTGTGAGTACTAGGATTTGAATTCAAGGCCTCATGCTTGCTAGGCAGGCACTGTACCTCTGTAGCCATGTCCCCAGCCCTTTTTGCTTTAGTTGTTTTTCAGACAGGGTCTTCTGCCCTGGGTCGGCCTTGGACCATGACCTTCTTACATATCTTCCTGTGCAGATGGCATTCAGCTCATAAAATACATTTCTCAGCCATGGATTTTTGATCATTAAGCAAATGGTGAATTTTCAATCTAGTAATTTCAGGTTGCCTGAGGTCTTAAAATCTGCTTTTCTTAGAAACTGTTTTTTCATCCCAGGAAGGTTTAAAAGTACAAATATTAAATCAAAGCCAAAGTAATACTTTTGTATTTTACCTATGTTTCATAATTTTAGGGACAATTTACATTGCACTTGATATAAAAATGCTTGGAATGATTTTCTAAAAAATGGACTTGCAGAATCTGATGTCAGCTATGTAATTCCAATTTAAACTATGCAACTAATTTTAGACTTAGAAAGTCAAAAGTTACACTTTCACATTGGTAAATAATACTGAAATATTTCAGAAAATTTGGTTTATTGCATTTATAAATATAATTGTTAGAATTAAGTGTTGTTAAATGATTGTGGTCACATTTGGGCATTTGAAGTGCTTATAGGGAAGCATTAGCTCTGTATATTTATATACTGTATTCTGTTTAAAGAAACACTCTGAAGAAATTGTATTGCAAGCTGGGTGTGGTGTCTGTCATCCCACATGTGGGAGGCCTAAATTAGGAGGATCACAGTCCAGGCTGGCTTGGACAAAGTGAGACCCTAGCTCAAAAATTACCAAAGCATAAAGGACTGGAGGCATGGCTCAAGCAGTAGGTGTTACAAAGTCCTGAATTCAAACCCCAGTACCACAAAAAAAAAAAAAAGGAAATTATAATGTAATAATTGGAGAAAACATTCAGATTGTTTCTAGAAGGATTTGCGGACTGTTAACACATAAAGAATTCCAAAATTCCAGTTGCAGGGAATGGCTAAACCAAAGTTGGGATGTTGGAAGCATGCATCACATACTTCAGGAACAGTGAGTTTTGCTTAATTTGCCCCAAGTGAGGGACAAAAGGGAGTGTAATCTAGAACTGTGTTCTGAGTTTAGACTACAGAATGTTTTGTGGAGTCATTCAGTAGACAGAGGATACTCACTGGAAAATTCTGGATAGAATATAGATGTAGTGACCTTTAGGAAGACTACTGTGCAGGATTCAGAGTGGGTTAGGTGGGGAAGACTCAGAAAGTTGATGAATGAGACTTCAGAGGACAGCAGGGACTGAACTAAAGTGAGAACAATTTGAAACTGATGGGCAAAGGTGATTGGAAACTCAAGTCTGCTGAGTACTGCTTCATGAACAATTAAAGGCAAATTCTGGCCAACGTTGAGTACCCTGCTCTGGTTGACTGATCTGGGCCAGAAAAGATCAAGTCTGTCCAGAACAAATCTTCAGGAAGAGGAACACTGAAAATGCTAGTTCTCTCCTTTTTTAGAGATTTACCTAATTACAAAAAACTAGCATCTGTGGCTTTCCATTCAGAATCCTGGAAATGGTGCCTGTTTTTTTAGCAAAAGAGCAAAAACCAAAGCCAAAACCAAAAACCCAAAAAGCAAAACAGAACAACAACAAAAAGTCCCAACTCAAAACCAAACCTTTACACAAACTTCAGGATCTTAGCCTTCCTCTAGTGTTTAAAGTATTCTGTTATTAGTCTCCTCCCTTTAAAGGGCAGAGTTCAGAACTCAAACTGAGCAAGGACTTGGGTTGTCTGTGGACAGCAATGTTAACAGTGATTCCATGCAAAAGTCTCAGATGAGGTTCAGCAAATATTTAAATCAGTAAATCAGAGGCATTGTATCACTGTAGAACATGAAAACTACGTCTTAGCTCCCCTTAGTTTGGAAAGTTCTGTTTTCAGTAGAGCCTGGTCTTGTCTTAGAAAGACAGGTGAAGGCAATAACTACTACCCCACACTGGAGAAATACAGCTCATTTTTAACAGCATACCTGCTCCAGCTCCTCAAGCCTACTTTTGAGGGTTTTTTGGTGTTAATCTTCTGTATGGTCTTTTTCCCTCTAGGACAATGACATACACATCACATTTCAACTTAGCTTTCCTATCTACAACCTTGTCCTGGAGTGGAAGGAGGCTGTTACTATTTGTAACCACTGCTGGGAAACATGGAAAGTATGTTCCAGTTTCTTTTCTGGTCAAAATGTACTCTCAGCCTCTCTCCTTGGTTGTAGTGCATTAAATAGTAAGCACCATGAGAAAGTCTGTTTATTTCTATACCATAACCTCTAAAGGGATTGTCTTATATTTACACATTATCGTATCAATAAAATATCACTATCAAATATCTCCAAATGTAAAAAGCAAATTTTAAAAATACTACTTTTAATAGTACTTTGCTATTAAAAGCAATAATTTTTAGGCAGACATTTGAAATAAAAAGTAAAATCACAAAAATGTTAAAAAGTTAGGTGAAGTAGAAATAACAGTCAGTTAAGAAAGTCGTCTTATTCTTGCTTTCCAAGTGAGGACTCTGTGAACTTTTAACTTAAAAGTACTGAGTGCTATCTGAATATAATAAAAATTGGAATCAACTAAAACTGGGGATTTTCCCAAGGACTTTATTGAGGTAACTTTTCCCACTTTTATACACATATATATGCATTTATATATACTTAGGAAAGCTAAACAATGTTCTAAGGCACTTGAACTTGTGCACAGCAAAGTATCCTATTATGTTTATACCACTAGATAGAGCATAGTTTTGCTTTTTAAATAACACAAACACCAATATGAAATAAAAAAGATAATACATAGTCTTTCTTTCAGGGTACAATAGTGGAATACATATACATATGTGTGTATACTTGTAGATATTTATACCCACATATTATAATACAGTACAGATTAGGAACAACAAAAAGGAGAAACTGTCATGTTACTCAGTGTACAGTTCCAGTTATTTACACTCACAGATATTATACCTGTGTAATACGCAGGACTAGATTACTCGCTGGAAATCAGGAACCATTCAGTTAATCTGATAATGATCACAGTTTACCATTCTTACCACTTTAACAAAAGCTTAAAATAACAAAAGAATACAGATAGTCCATTATTTAAAAAATCACTATTACATAGAAAAAAAGATAAACTAGTTTGAAGTTTTTAGTAGGTATATAACAGTGAAATTACTGAAGAATGTTTTGAACATACTGGCCCATTTCTAAGCCACAGAAAAAAATACTAAAAGTATACAAAAAAAGTTAGTGCCTATATTTTAAGCGATGGAAGTGGTTTGACCCTCAATTTGTTCTGATAATTTCCAAATGCTAGTTAGCAGTACAGTGGCAATTTCTTATTGTGGGGTCCCTAAGAATGTAATGATATAGTCAAACTATAATAAAAGCATCCAGTAAGGGAAAAGCCCTCCAGATTGGCAAGTGGCACAAATATTGTTGGCATTTTAATATACCATAAGATTGACCTGAGGGTGGAGTGGCATTTTGCCTCATTTATTCCTTTCAGTTTGTTCTCTTTAAAAAAAATACTGCTATCAAAAAGGATAAGAATTTTTCAGCACCGTCTATAAGATCAAAACATAACCACCTTTATCAACTCAAAGTTGCTCTGCCTCAAAAAACCTTTTTTTTGGAATTTTAATATTTCAAAAAAAATTATAGTGGCTAAATTAATTCCATTCTCCTAGTGACAGTTCATCCAAGTAGTTTCAAGACATATTGACCACACCATTCAACTTCAACCACAAAATGTGACAAAGAGAATATGTTGCTGTATTGTTAGCACAGTTTAACAGTGTTTTCCCTGGATAAAAGTCATCTTGTTTTGTGTAGGACCATCACTGCAGGATGAACAATATGTATGCAATCCACAGTTCTGCCACATTTCCGTCATGATGAAGTGTTCATACATCCCCATGCATGACTATGTTTATGTGGGAAAATTCAAGCATTTGCATGCAGATTAAATGCTTCTGTAACGGGAGAAACAGAAGCTTTTGGAACCCATAGGATGCAGCGTTCCCAGGCGAAATTCAATGGTGGCTTCCAAAGACCCCTGCTTTGTTTATGTGCATTGTTAAGAGTCACTGTTTCTATTTAACCCTTACAACAATCCTCGTGACATTGACAAAGATTGTGATCACACTGCAGTTCTGAAAAAAAGTGTGGAAAACAACCCCCAAAACAACAATAAAAAAAGCTTTTTTGTGTAAAAGCTCCCCTTTTTTGAAGTACAGACACCAGGCTAAATCACTATACCCACTTCCTACTAGAGTTGCCAAGGCTGGCTGCTATCTCCTGCCTGAAAAAGTGGTAAATGAAAGCTGCATCAAAACAGAAGGCTGGAAAAATGAAAGGGACCAAAGAAATGCCAGCAGTAGAGCCAATTATCTGTGATAGACACTTCCTCCTATGTCCTCAAACTGCAGTAGACAGTGGAACTCAGGTGAGGGGTACCATCCTCCATTGGAGGGCCTACAAACAAGAAAGGCCTCTTAATTTTGGTTTTCACATGCCTGGGAATGCTACTGGCATTTAGTCAGCAGGGACCTGGGATATTAATCATCTTGCAATGCGTAGGACATTTCTGCACAACAAAGAATTGCCTAGATCCAAATGCCAACAGCACCCCACTGAGGGACACCGATCCACAGTTCTTTGCTCATATGTGCAGCTGTGCTAGCAATGACAAGCTAATGACGTGTGTGTGCGCGCGCAGTAAATCCTTGCACAACTTAAAACAGCCTTTCCTGTAAGGTTGGCGTTAAGTGGGAATAGCTGCCACAAAGATTCTCCATTTCTTTGCTAGAAATCTTACAATGGATACAATAGGATCTCTTAATCTGGGATGACCCCGACCTCAAAACAGCATAGATGGCCAATCTTTCAGCTGCTTTCTAGAAATGCTAATGGTGCCTCACATTTCCAAATAGCCTTGAGCTTGATGATTATAAAAGTAAGTGGAAAGTGAAAAGGAGAATGGTTTGAGGGTTTTCTACCTTTGTTCCCACTACTCTTTGGTCACCACCTGATTTTCTAGTAGTGCCTAAAATAAAATCCCTCTTTTAAGCTTGCTTACTCTCAGGAAGAAGCTCCCATTATTTGATGGACTACTTTTGGCACTGTTTTCCCCTCCAGCACATATTTGAATTATGGAAATTTATTGTGCTCTGTCATGTAAAACAATATATATGTAGATTCCACTAATGAAAGATTAACCATTTCAAGGGGCCATGGACAATTTTGTAGATAAATTGTATCTAAAAAGTTCCTTAGTGCTCACAATATATTCTGATGACTTGAAGAAATAATGATCTCCAATTACTAATATAACTAGAATTTAAGAATGCTTGAACAATTCTGCCATACTGGTGAAACTGACATAAATTCATCTATCTTATATCAATTTAAATGCATCTCACCTACTGTGAGGAAAATTTCTTACTCTGCATGAAATATGCGGCTAGGGACACTTAAAAATACTAACAGAGAGATGAAACTTTTGAGCAAGAAAGGAAGAAGAAGAAGTTTTCACTGTTTAAATGCAGACATACTACTGTGTGGCAGACAAGACTGCCTTTTTTCTATTGTGTAGATGGTCTGATTTTTAAAACTTATGTCTCTCTTACTCTATAAAGTATAATGCCTGCTGTGTGTTGATGTGGTATAATGATATGCAGTGTTAGTGCAGATTTTTTCTCTTTTCAAGTGTAAGCTACTGTATTTTTTAGTGACAATCAGCATTGAACTAATTGGGGTATGCAAGACCTGACTTTTGGGATTTAAGAACTCATGACTCATTTTCAGATTTGGCGATTTATTTTGAAGGGTGTACTCAATCTTTCTATTTCCTTAAATTTAAGAACTTTCTACTGACATTTGAGAATGATAAGTGACTTCACTCATTCTGTTAATAAGGACATGAATATGAAACCAGAAAGTCAGCTTTCCTGGTTAAGACAGAGAAATAGATGTTTGCTTTCTTCTCCAATTAAAAAAGCTTTTCAAATACCCAAGACAATATTCTCTGAATATTGTAGACTTCAGTTAAATAGTTTAAGGAATTAACCCAGGTTATAATTAGCACTAAGAAATGCAAGACACTTCCCTGTGTAGGAAATTATCAAGCACACTGCCTGTAATTGCTTGCTGACCATCAGAGAACTAATTTTGTTCACATTGATTGGCAATGACCATGAGGCTCTGATGTAGCCCACTTAACAATCTTACTATCTTCATATTAATGGGCTTTTTCTTCATTTTTGCAGAAGCTGGAAATGGTCACTTTGGTTTTTACATTCTGTCTAGTTCTTTTCTACCTGGGTTCTTCCTTGAGAGGGGTTTGTTTTCTTCCTTAATCATATCTCAGCGACCCAGGAAAACTCACTCACTTGCTCTATGTCAGCTTAATATTACACTTGCATGAAAACTCAGAATTGTGTTACAACAACAACAAAGACATCCAGGGGCTGAGGGTGTAGCAGGTCAGTAGTAGAAAATAGTGTGTGCAAGGCCGAGTTCAAACCACCCCCAACCCAATTCCCCCACACACATTTATTTTCCTTAAAGGATAGAAGTTACTGGTTGGGTTGCTGGCAGTGGACAGAGGCATTTTTGTAGGGAGGGTGTCCCAAGCCTTTCCATCTTTTGGGCTGCCAGGCAGTAGACCCTGTATAGGCTGCTGGTACTGATACACAGTGATTCTATTTTTAAAAATCAACCATGAAAACAGCCTTATTCTGCAAAATATGGTTTTTCTCATAACCCTCTAATTCTTCCTATTGCTTTTATTTAATGGTTCATTTTAATGAAATAGTTGGTGGTTCCAAATAATTTTAATTAAGGTAGCAGTGGTTAATTATTTTTTAAATTTTAAACTTTTAACATATAAAGTTTTCTCTAAATGCATCAATCAGTATGAAGAAAAAGAGTGAGTAATTCATAAACCTGCATATCATATAAGGAAAACAATATATTGAAGTACCAGATTTTCATTTTTGTACTGGGTGAATCTCATTTTAGGGAATAAAAAATTGCCTCATATGTACTGCTAGTGGAAAAGTGACTGTTCCTTTTATCAGCCAAATAGAAACTTTCTATGACATACATTTTGAGTCATAAAATGGTGCTACCTTATATTTATCACTATGCAGAATTTATGATTAGAAATAAGAAATGTTCAAAGATTATCAGCATAGTAAAAGAAAAGAAACATATTTTCAAGACTCTAAAGTGAAAATAAAATGTCATAAGGAAAAGAATGACTAGAAAAATGAAAACAAAGCTAATTGAAATACTAGGGTGGGAGCACTTGCCTTGCGTGCACAAAGCCCTGGGTTTAATCCCCAGCACTTCAAAACAACAAAACAGAACAGAGCTAAAAGAGACAAAACCCCAATTGGAGACAGATACTTGGGCATGCAGAGATACTTTTTTCAAAGCAAAGTATGTCTTATTTTATTAGTGAGCTGACAACGGTACAGAATTTGGGCTTAGTTAATTGATGCACATAGCTGAGTGCAGCACGAGGTATAATAATGCTGGCTATGTTTCTTCCTTATAAAATGATCCTGGCTTTTTATAATAGGCCATGTGGGGCTAATGTTTTTAAATTTTGAAATTATTCAAAATTACAATCATCCCATTTCAAATGATTCTTCAAAACACCGATGAATTGGGAGAAGAGAGGGATCTAAACTTACCCAACAGATTAAATGCTTACTTTTGGATTGAAACTGAAAATTATAGTCTTTCACAGTCTGGACCAGAAAGACTTCAGAAAATTCGAATCTAACCTCTAAGAATAAAATAAACTCTACTTTGATTTGCCTTCTTGTTATACAGTTCATGTGTTTTTAACAAGGGGCACACAATAACCATGAAAGAACAACTAAATGCAAGGTAGTATGTACATGTGAGCTGATGTATCTGGGAGTAGAAGCTATTCTGTGCTTGGAACTGACACCGTGGACAAGAGAAAAATCAATAGTAGAGGGTCCTTAATGTAAACAATACTGACTGTGGGCTCACAAGGTCATCTCACTGAAAGTAAATACTGTATTTATGGATACAATCCACACATTCTTACTATACAAGATGGTGTTTTCATTACACATAAATTAGCAGAATTTTCTGTGTTCTTTTAAGCCTTATGGTTATTATTATTATTTTTTTGATCCATGTGCTTGACTTTTTAAATAGCAGCAACCCAACTTTTTTTTAAATGAAGCACTGAAAAATAACTGGTACCTCCCAGATTCAGGTTTTAAAAGGGTGTAATGATTGTCGACACTATCTTCTTTTGATCAAGTATGGTTGCTTGAGCCTGGAGATAATCAACAAAGGGAAAGCCCAAGAGATTTATTTCTAAAGCTTTCAGCAGTTTTATAGGATCACATTACATCTGACTTTATGCCTGGTTCTGTTATTCTTGTGGAAGGCTGATACACTAGGAAAAGAGTATAAAAAAAGTCAAGTGTATATAGCTGTGATACTTAAAGCATGCAACAAAATTTGGGTGAGCATGCTTGTAAGAGTCAATAGAAGCTTCTTGCATTTAAGAAAAAGATGCATGAAAACATCCAGACTATTTCTGGCAACTGGACTCACTGGCACAACATAAAATAATGGTACTATATTGTACCAACTTAATGGTAAAACAAGAATGTTCTTCGAGAATCAAGTCTTTGAGGAATCCAGATTGGGCAATTTGATTCCAAAATCACTTAATAAGTTCTCAGCTACCAAATGCCTACCTCGAAAATGCATTTATGCTTTTATTTTCTCTTTTCTTCATTAACATAATGAAATATTTCTCTCTTTCTGATTTTCAACTCCCACCCCTTTGCAGTACCCAGCAATTCCAATCTATTTTTCTTTAAACTGTACACATTATATCAGTTGGCTTTCTGGTAGTAGGGAGCCAGCGATTGTCTTCTGCTCATCTTCTTTGATTAAAACTCCTTATGAAGAACAGCTGATATAGCCATAGTGTCTGTCCCTTACCATCAATACACATTCTAGGCTGCAAGGCTCACTGCTTCCTTCCTTCTGCTTGTTGGCCCCACATGGGTATACAGGTGAGGAACACCTTTGAACAAAGCTGAGTCACACACTTCCTTCACCACAATCAGGTGGAAACACAACATTCAAATCTCAGTGCAATATCAGGTTTTCAGGAAGCAGGGCTTCTGCCAAAGATGATCAATCTGTTTTCCAAACAGTCGACACTTCCGTTATGGACGATGAAACCTGGAGGAAGAAAGAGAACTGTGAGTCCATGATACAGGAGCATACTCTGCATTTAGTGAATTGAGTAAGGCATGGCAATGTTCACAAGGACAGGCAACTCTAGATGTTCCCAACTGAGTTACTGTTACAAATTGCTGTCAGAACAATACCTTTATAAATGTTATGTTGGAAAGCAGAGACAAGTTTATATGATATGTCATATAAACAATATAAACAAGTTTATATTATATGTCATTCAGGTCACAGAGCAATCAAGATAAAATATCACAATCCTTGTGGGTCACATTCTCATCTATATTAACCAGAGTGAGATGCATCACCAATGGATTTGGTTATAATTGGTCTGTAAGTATAAAAGGAAAACAACCAATAGTCACTATTTTATTAGCTTTTGCTTTTCACCAGCTCTTGCTGGTGGCTCCAAGCTGGCTTTAGATACTTGGATTTCCAAATGCTACTTAGTGTTTCCACAGTGTAGTCCATAGGTAACAAAGTAAACATGTCCACAAGTATACAGTGTTCTTGTTAACTTGCTCTTGCACTTTCTGTTTCATCATATACTTTTGAAAATATTTTTAATTTGGAAACCTCAGATTTGTAAGTTCTTTCTCATCTTCACCCTTATCACCCAATTCTGCCTTAATCCCCTATCTTCGAATCATTAAAGCCCTCACCATCTTTTGTTGGCACTACTTTAACAGTCTGCCTGAGAGCCAGCTAGCTGGCTTTCCCCCCTTCCATGTGAGTTCCTGTGCTTTTGAGTATGCTGTCTCTAACACTGCGGTTCTCTCCTTCATTACCCATCTGCATTTTCAGTGTCAAGATCAAGGTTAAAAGCCATCTTCTCCATAAAACTTTATCTGATTAAATACTTCAGTCTACTTCTATGATTCCAAGTTTACACAGCTCATCGTAATATTGCTCTATTTTCTATAATGTAATGCTCATCTACACTGATAAACCAGTCACCCAACTGGTTTCCCTGTCCCAAGCTCTCTCCATTAAATCCATGCTCTACACTGTCAGTAAATTGTCATTGTGAAATAGTGATCCCGCTATGCCAGTTCTTCGTTCAAAGAATTGTATTGTTCTCCATTCTCAACAAAATACATTGTACCGTCAGGACCCTCCAAGGAGGGAAGGGGGGTTACCAGTTTCTCTTTCTTAGGTTCAGCTCCTCTAGGAATTAAATAAAAACTCATCTAATTAAGCAATCATTTAGCCCTCCTCAATTTTGCTGGACTTTGTACACCAGGCATTACCCAATATCCTTATCATCAGGTGTATTTTGGTCCTAGATTCAAAATACAAGTGTGGGGTAACCTGACAGATGTTTTCTCTTCTTATTGGTTATGTCTGTGGGATGAAGAAAGGAAATGAAAAATTAGGTTAGGCAACAAAGCAAGTGGACAATGGACTGGAAGAGATGACCTTCTAAAGCCTAGTGTCTTCCGGAAAGTGTCCTGCATTCAATTCCCTAAAACTAGTAAGGGCACTATAAGATTTTTTTCTCTGCAGACATCATTTGTCTAGGGATCCTATTAGATAGTGAGCCCCACTAGGTTGCCCTGGAAGGTGACACCAGAACAGCTTCAAGGGCTGGCTCAGAGAAGGTACCAAACAATACATGGCTTCAGTGACAGGCTGACAAAGCTTGGGTCAGAACTGCAACCTCTCTTTATTTAAAAATAATTTTTTTTTCCAGTACTGGGGATTGAACTCAGGGTTTTGTGCTTGCTAGGCAAGTACGGCAAGTACTCTGCCACTTGAGTTATACCCCCAGTCTTTTTACTCTTTGTTTTTCATATAGGGTCTTGTGCTAACTTTGCCTGGGTTGGCTTCAAACCATGATCTTCCTCTCTCCACCTCTTGCTGGGATTACAGGTGTGAACAGCATGCCTGGTCTATAACATTTCTTTACAAAGACTTCCCAGATTTGGTAAATAAGCAAACAAACACTCACATATTTTTCTGCTGTATCCAATCAGAAAGGGACAAGTCTTATCCTGTTAAATTAGGCATCTTATCTTCAAATTTGGCTCTAAAATTTTATGGTTGGAGGTACTGAAAATACAAATTGTTCTTAAGTTTGCTAATAGTCAGTGGTTTGCATTCATTTAAAAATCTAAGCTCAGCATTACCTTCTGAAAAGTTTGCCTATCTGACAGAATGACAATTTTGGCTTTAGGCTTCAAATCCATGGAACAATAAATAGACTTACTCTGCTCTAAGGATAGTTAAGCTTTTCAACTTTTTTTTTTCCAGAACTTTCCTGAGACTCAAATTTTAAATTATGTATATTTTCTTCTTTTAAAAACTATAATGCATTCTTATTTTTCTACTATTGAGAGGGAGTGAATGGGGACAAATGCTATTTTTAAGTTATGGACTTCAGATAAGGACAACTATTTCCCTGAAGATGGCTCCCCTACAATTTTATTTAAAAAATTACTCATCTTCCTATAAATTCATTTGGATAATATAAAAATAAAATTACTAACATATGTAAAATATTACTTCTCTGTACTTCCCTATTTGATATTTGGTGAGATCCTAAATAATTAATTCCCTCTTTATCTCTTATTTATTTTATTTATTCTTCTTTCAGTGCTGGGGATCGAACCCAGGGCCTTGGGCATGCTGGGCAAGTGCTCTACCACTGAGCTACATCTCAAGCCCTTATTTCCTGTTTCTTTAAAAGGTTTCACTGTTGTGTCACATACAGTTACTGAAACAACAGAAGAGGCTTTCCTAAATACAGCCCCCTTGTTCTACTAATGTCAGAACACATGCTCCTGGGCTCTTCTTATTCGTAATACTGAACCAGGCTTGCATCATTTTGCAGCTCTAAGTACAAGTAAATGGAGCATCCAGGAAAGACTAGGGAAAGTCTCTCATTACTCTGTGGATGATATTGCAGTTCCAAGTATTAGTTCCGCCAGGTTCACATTCTGATAAACCACGCATAGAGTAGCTGAGTGCTTTACTTTATCTGTAAATCCACATAGTGTAGTAATATAGAATATGATCATTGCTTAAAATATATATGCATGTATGTAACAATCTTACATTGAAAATATTTGGAAAGTAGAGAAAAGAAAATTTCACAACTCTATAGTTAACTATTAAGAGTTTTTGTTCTTCTTTCCTAGACTTTTTTCGATGCATATGAATTTGGAATAGGTTACTGTTTTATGCACAGTTTGGCAAATCTTGGTTTAATAATTGACATGATACCAATAATCTCTTGAGACCCATACTGATTCTAAGCGCTTCAATTCAATGACTCTGAGTCTGTGATAAAATCCCTTAATACAATAAATAATTTACAAGCTAATCCACAGAAAGTACCTTGTACATGCTAAAATGTTATTTATAAAACTAAAATTTTATTTTTTAAAAGTGATATTCTCTCCAGATACAAGTTAATACTTAAAAATTAGAAAACAAAGCCTATCCAGAAGATTAATATTAGTCATAATCTTACCATTCAGCTATAATTATTTAAAGATTAGTTTTTAAGTAACAGTTGACCTTTCATACAAATTGTCATTATAATTTAGAGAATTATTTTATATTATAGAAATTCCATTTACTGTGCAAAGGGAAGTGGCTTTTGTTTGCCATGGTGGTCTCTTCCAAGAATGCAATGATCCTATCTAGTTGTTCAAGTGGACTTTGGGGTTTTGAGCTGTGGGGCTGAGTAGGCAGTGAAGGGAGAAAATGCAGGATGTGGCCAGATAAGCAGCAAGCGCTCCAAGGAACTGAGATTACAGCTTGGCACCTGTCAGACCACAGGGGGATTTCTTGTGGGGAGCACTTGTCCCCACCCTTGTTGCAAAGCCTTAAGATGCATTCCAATTCCTGGGAGTTATCTTGAAAATACTGGAAGAGACCAAGGGAATTACACAAAAGAGTGAAATGTCACAATTCTTCATTAAGACAGATCAAACATGCCATAGAATGTATTTCATGATGGAAGCTTCAGGTGGCTTCTGGGCATACAAAAAGTGGGGGTGTCATAATATCAGTGCCAGCACATAATTCAAGACAGACCACAATGATGGAATCCTCACTTACAGAAACAAGGATGTAGGGAATGGATCTTTTATTTTAAGATTTTTTTGGTTTTGATTAGGTAAAACATTCTTATGTTTCAAAAATTCAAAAGGTTCAAAAAGATGAGTAGTGACAAGTCTCCCTTTCATGCCTGTCTCAGCAACCGGCTTTCCCTGGAGACAAGCAATGTTATCAGCCTTTTGTGTATCTTTCCAAAGATCCCTGAACAAAGGAAGCTATATATGGGAATAGATTTCTCAAGTATTCACTGATATATTCCTGTGCAGGAACCATCTCTGAATAAAGAGGTATCTGGGCAGAGGAAGCAAAGCTGTCTCAATGCGTTTATTAACCATCTCAAATCCACAGGGAATACAGAGATTTAGGTTCAGAAGGGAAGGCTTACTTGGTATAAGAAGATAAATTCTGGCACTAATTAGAAGAAAGGGCAGCTGTTGTGTATCTAGGTTGCATTGAAAGTACTGGGTTATGATTCATAGGGTGTTTATGTCACCAAGAGTGGCTGGTGCTAAGAGAACTACTATCTTTTAAATTTTTATTAGGATATATTTGTTGTACAGGGGGGATTCATTGTGGCAATTCCAAATAGGCTTTCATTGTACATTGGTTAGATTGCCTCCAGCATCTCCCCCTTACCGTCTCCCTGCCCCACTTAAAGCAATTGCAAGAGGTTTCATTGTTCTACTTGGTACAAGTATATGAAGTCTATCAGAAAAACCACATTCCCTCACCTTCATCTCCACTCACCCTACCGCCTCCCACAAGTGCCCTCCTGGTACTTATTTTACAGTCCTGTCTTTCATTATTAATTACTAAGTCAATGTTCAGAGAGGTTTCTCGATGTATCCCTGCTGCGAGAATACTTCACTTTGGTCAGTTCAACCCCTTCCATTGCTCGCCCTCACCCCTTCCCTTCCACCCCCCCATTATTCAACAGCTTTCAGTACATATCATTATACCCTCTACCTGCACAAATGTTATGGATTTTGATATTGTCAAAGCTCTATCATTCTTTTCTTCTTTCCTGCCTCACTCCAGTGCCACAGAGTAGTTCCACTATCAAACACATGAGAACCACTAGCTCTTATGTGAACCATTTCTAAGTCCAAAACATTACCATAGTTTTGTATTATTTTGAGCAGAAATCATGTTTTCTGAAACTTTTTCCTCATAAAAGAAATATTGAAAACAAGTTGAAAATAATACCATGATTTTTGTATCTTCAAAGCCAAAAATATTTCCCTGTTGGAACAGAACTCTAATGATGTCATACAAATTAATGGAAAAATAGCAGTAGACATTTGGTTTAGTGCCAAGTTTTAAAGACTACTTAAGGAAAGCATGTTTATTTTGATGATATGAATATTTGATTTTTCTTTATCTGGAAAGACATTTTAAAGAGGGCTGATCAATATACTTTTTTGGAAAACTTATAAAGTTAACCCTTGATATCAACTGTTATCCCCCAAGCTTATCTAATTGCATCTATTAATATTTACTTAATCAATGAAGTTATCAACAGACTGTCTTCTGAAATACAGCAAGCATATCTTAAATTTGTCTAAATGAGTAAATACAGAGAAATAGCTCATAGAATTTTGAAGGTGAAAAAAAATCCCATCAAATATAAAAACATACTACAAATCTACTCTAATTAAATAGGCAGGAATAAACAGCTCATTAAGAACATAAAGAATCCAGAAACCGACCGAGGTATATATTCAAAATGAATTTCACATCCATGGATAAATAAATGGCATTAAGAGAACTACTAACTGGAAAAAAGTAAAGCTACTTTGCTCTGTTGAATCATGGGTAAAAAAAAATGTCCAATGGATTAAAGTGCTAAGTGTAAAAATATCATAAGCTAAAAATGATTTTATAATCTTGACCTCCTTCCACAAGACACAGGACAATGAGGTAAAAAATAAGCACAGATTTGAATGTGCAAAAATTTATACAGAAGATCATCAAAAAGTTAAAAGGTTACCAACAGATTGGAGAAAAATATTGTGACATAAGTAATTAAGGGCTAATAAGCATGACACCTAAGGGGGTTTTACTAATCTATATAAAAAGACCAATGACACCCCCCAAAAAAACTGGTCAAAAGTTTTGAGCAGGCAGATGAAAGAATAAAAAAATAAGTGGTCAATAAAGATAAGATGCTCATCTTCACAGTGACTTAGAGAACTCAATGGGACTACCACAAAAATACTGGTATATGTGAACACAGAGATTTCTGTGTTCAATAATTTATAGTACATTATCTATAAGAAATATACTAATATGGAAGGTTTTTCTAGATGCTGTGTTTGTAAATGCACAGAAAAATGTCTAGAAGGATCCACCTCAAACTTTCACCGGTGTTGACCTGTGAGAAGGGAAATAAGGTTGTAAAGGGAGTTTCAGTTTTACTTGATAAACTTTTATATTGTTTAAATGTTCAATTGAAATATATTATTTTTGTACATAAAAATATATATAAAATGATCCTGACTTCCCTCTATATCCTAACTTTGTTATAGTTATTTATAGAGTGAAACAAACAAAAGCTCTCTTTTAGTACATTGACTTTTCATGAAATGAGAGTTTCTAGAAAGTGCATTTAAAAAATTTGATTACTTGCTGCTACAATTTATTTTCACACCATGTTAGCAAGTGGAGATCTGGTTATCAGATTTCCAGGAAAACTGCCCCAAGTGACAGCCGCTGTTGAGTGCAGCCGCTGCTGCTCAGGGATCAGGACTCAACTACGCAAACACTTGCCAGTTCCATGTCACCATAAATATCCCAGCTCCTTTTTATAATCAACTGTACTGAGGAAGCACAACTTCAGGTGTCACATTTTAGCATGAACTTTTCCTGACCCTAGAAACATCAGACAGAATATAAATCTGGCTTGACAAAGGTATGTTATTGGTCCAGGAGTAGATTATGATAGGATAAAGGCCTTGAAAGAAAAAAAAAATAAAGTTTGCCATCTTAAGCATTTTCAATAAGCTAAACTGCATTTCGTCCACCTACCTGGTAAACTGTCGACTCTCTTCATGAACTTCCATTTCAGTGCTTTTAAATTCATTTAGTTCTTTCCTTATTGCTGCCTAAACAGGAAAAAATAGATAAGTAGAATGATTATTCAGTCACGTAGTTTGGCAGCAATGAAGTGGACATTCTTTTAAGGAATGTCTTGGAGAGAGAAAGGCAGTCCTAATTTCTACCAGGTAAAGGTATAATAAATGTAATATAAAACAGGTTTGAGCACCCCTAATCTGAAAACCTGAAGTTAGAAATGCTCCAAAATCTGAAACTTTTTGAGTGCCAATATGAGGCTCTAATGGAAAATTCACATCTGACCTCATGTGACTGTTAGAAGGAAAAGTCCAGTAAAAATGGTGTCAAATGACCTTCAGGCTATGCATAAATGGCACATATAAAACATACATGAATTTCTTTTGGTGGATCTGGGGTTTATACTAAAGGGTTCACACTTGCAAAGCTGGAGCTTTACTCTTGAGCCATGCCTTCAGTGTATTTTGCTCTGGTTATTTTTGGAGATGGGGCTCTTGCAAACTATTTGCCTGGGCAGGCCTAGAACCTCGATACTCCTGATTTTAGCCTCCCAAGTAGCTACGATTACAGGTGTGAGCAACCAGGGCCTGACCCATAAATGAATTTTTTATGCTGTTCTGGGGATCAAACCCATGGTCACACACATGCTAGGTAATTGCTCTACCACTGAGCTACACCCCTAACCCTATAAATGAATACTGGGATTAGGCTTGGTCCTGATCCCCAAGGTATCTCATTATGCATATGCAAATATTCCAAAATCTGAAAAAAAAAACCCAAACCAGAAACACTTTTGGTCTCAAGCATTTTAGATGAGGAATATTTAAGGTGTAAAGTCAAACTAAAATTATGCTTTATGTTTTTCCCTCTATAAAACCAGAGAACAGGAGAGCGGAACAGGTTGGGGGGAGTTGGCTAGCACCAGAGGGAAGGGGGAGGTGGTGAGAAAAGGGTTAGGAGGTGAATATGGTGTAAATAATGTATACACATGTATGTAAAGGCAAAAATGATACATGTTGAAACTGTTCCAGGAATCAGGAGAGGGAGGATGAAGGAGAGCAGTAGAGAGGGTGAATTCAAGTATGATATATTTGATACATTATAAGTACCTTTGTAAATTCTACAGTGTACCCTTACCCATCACAACAATGATTAGAAAATAAAATAAATAAAATATTTCCCCTGAAAAAACAAAACAGAGTAGACTTCCTTCAAGCCTCCTTGACAAAGAGGTGAGAAAGGAGGCTTTGATTAGACTCAGCCTTGGGCTCGCTCTGTGAGTCACTCAACATCTCCCACCTCCATGCCCACAGGAAAGTGCAGGGCAGGAGAGCTGCAGAGAAACCTTGTATTCTAGGAACGTTCTGCATTTTGTAGGCCCCCCAACAACATGGCTTTGAGAAGCTCCCACAGAGCTACTGGGAAGGGACTTGTTATTTATTCTTGAGTATTGAAAGTTTAAACAAACAGAAGTTTAAATTTCAGCACTGCACTTAATGCTACTCAAGGCAAACATCAAATAGGATGCCTTACTGTTTGGCGACCACACAACTGTGCCATGTAAATTTTGGTGTACAAAGAGATGCTTATGCCTTTCAGACTGGGAAGCTGACATGTTCGTCAACATGTTAACCTTAGTTATCTGTTAACCAACAGTAGCAGATTATGCATGAGTTTTGGCTTCAAGTTTTCTCTTATTTTTACTTCATATATTTATTTATTTTTACATGAGAATGTTTTACTCATGTTAAAAAAAAATACTGATAAATACCCTTGTAACCTCTATGTGAAATGGACTCTTCAGTCAAAATGCAGAAAGACAATATAAACCACAGAGAATAACTTCCCTAAGAGATAAGAAAACTTACTTTGTGGTTAGAAACCAATGAATTTTCGAAAACGGAAAAGACAGAAGAAAACCCTGAGGCCTCTCTGTGGCTCCCTCCCGTCAGTCACTACCACTCTGCAGCCCACAGGCTTCCCTCCAATGTACCTTTCAGTGTTATTTTTAAAGCCTGTTGTCTCTTCTCTCCAAATAAATTCCTCAGCCCCTGTCATTTCTTTGGGGAAAATGGAACTGGAAACTGGTCATAATTTTTACTGTGACTTGGAAAACCTGAAGCAAGCAGAGAAAAGTTTGTGGCATGAGTGCCCTGCGACACAGCTGTTACAGCTTGTCTCACAAGTCAGACCAACAGGGAGGACACCTGGTTTTGTTCACTGTAAAAATTAACACCTGGAACCGGAGCTGAAACAGTGAAGGTGTTCCATACTACTCACCAACTAACACCTATAAAAACTTCTTCCTTGGAAGGAAGTATTTTGAATAGTGGCAGAGAATCCCGACTCTAGGTCCCTTCAAATTTCTTCTGCAAATGGAAGGTTTCAGGAGAGGAAGTGAAAAGCAGTAAACTTGGAGCCCAAAGCCATTGGTCCTGCTTAGCAGCAATAGCAGTGTGACCATCAGTGAGTCAGTTTGTTCCAAGCCTCAGTGGGTGGCTCAGGCAGTAGAGCACTTGCCTAGCAAGCATGAAGTCCTGAGTTCAAACCACAGTGCCATCAAAAAAAAAAAAAAAAAAGGGACATACATCCAAAGATCCTTGTGTGAAATTCTCGAGGCTGGTGCTATTGGAAGGCACTGTGGAACTTTAAGAGGTGGTGCCTTATGGGAGTTCTTGCATACGGTAAAGATACCAATAAAATGTTGTTATTATTATGAGCCTTCCAAAAATTATTTTGGTTTTTGACTGTAACAATTCTCTTATGTAAAGCCTACTCAGAAGCAAGAAGTTGTTGAAGTAGACTCAAACGTGAATAGTAGGTTGGCTGTTGGTCTGAGTTTGGTAGAAGCCAGTGAAATCATCCTGAGAGATGAACTGGAATATGGAATTTCCCAAACAGCACAACTGTAAATCATGTATTGTACATCCTTTATACCAGTGAGATTTACAATCCTCTAGTGACCATATACATGCATTCGTACCTCAGAGAGCCAGCTAAACATTTATGGCATATCCCACATTCTCAGCTGCAATGTGACCTTGCCTCTGCCTCTTCTATCTTTTCAGCTTGGAATCTGGGTGAGTCCTGTCACTGTTTTCCATAATAAATAGTAGAGGTGATCCTATGTCAGCCCAGGGTGACCCTTTGCTGGCCTGCCACCTGCTTCCTGGAAGCCAGCTGTCATGATAAACATGTTACTATTCTCAGGAAACCACACCGAGAAACCCCAAGTACAAGGAAAGGCCTTGGAGGATGAGATACCTTGTAGATAGAGGCCTAGGTCACATGTTTGTGAAGACACAAGTTCAAAACGTCACTGTGATATAAAGACACTAGTAACAACCCCAGCATCTCACTTGACATCACGTGGATCAGAAACAAACCCAGGAGGTGAGATGTTCCCCAATATCTGCCTCAAAACCTTGTCAGCAAAATAATAAGTAGGTTTTAAAGATTCACATAATGAACATTTTTGTCATCTATAAATTTATTTATGACAGGATGGAGAAACATTTTATAATCAAAATTAATGGAAAATGAAACAAAAAGTAAAAATGAGTGACTAAATAGAAATTATTCTGATATTGAGAAACAAGTAGTATCAAAAGATTTGGATCATACCAAGAGCATAACATATTATTAAAAGGAAGATACATTCATTGAATAGAAATAAGAAATATGTCCTTGAATTGTTAATAATTTATATAATGAAGAGCTATGAATTATAAGAAGTAGAAGGAGAAATCTGATAATCTGACACCCAAAACCTGACATGGTCAAAAACATCATAAAGTTCAAAAATATGTCACTATGTTATAAATATACTAATAACAGATAAGTTAGTGATTATCTTAACCTAAGTGTTAAATAGTTGTTTTAAGCCACTAGGTTTTGGGGTTGTTAGTTACAAAGCAGTTGATAACCTGAACACTAGTCTAAGATTTTTATCTTATAGAAGATAAAATAGAAGCCTGGAGGTCATGTGACCTACTGCATATTAAACTGGCACTAAGTAACAAGGATGGGGCCCATACGTCAGCATTCAAGTACTTCTCAAAAAAATGAGCTTTAGGGGCTAAGTCATCCAGATAATCGCCTCAGATCTCCCTGTTTTGTATGCTGGACTGTAATGAGAAGTTATGAGTCAGTTATATGATGTGGCAATGAACTTGATGTGAAATTATAGAGACTAATTGAAAAATATATCAGAAAGATGTGAGTGAAAGCAATTAAAGAGACAATATTCATTGTAAAAATTCACTGAAGAATGACCATAGTTTTATTCCAAGAGTTACTACCTGGAATGAAGAGAAAGATTTCTTGAGTGTGTTTAAAGAGGAAAAAAGTAATTAAGATCTTTATATAGCAACATACATGTATGATAATCTTAAATTTCTTCTCAGCAAATGAGAACAGATTTTAGGGCCTAATATTTTTCATGTAAGTATAAATGGGATTAACTTTCTTGAAAGATATGGGATATAAAAAGGTAGGCTAAAGTAATGGGCTTGAGTCTAAATGGTGCTGGGTTGGATCACCAATGTAAACCCACTGAGCAGAAACTGTGTTTCTAGGACGGGAGTAGCAACAACCTAAAAACACCAGAAGATAGTATGAGACTAAACACAGTTATGTTTAGGTATTATGAGAATTAAAGAAAGGAAATGAAAAAGATTGAATCTAAGTCTAAAACTGGCCAGTGGTGAGTAGTAACAGAAATTCTGCTTCATCAATTTCAATTAGCTCAATGGATGTCCTGGCAAGAAGCAAGAGGTGATTTATTGAAAATATGGCTCTGTGGCCATCTCAAAAAAAAAAAAGAGTTGTGAGGCCAGAATTAACTAGAATTTTCATTTTGATCTCCTTTGCTTATTTCTTTGCTAAAATGTCAATATGGAACATGAAGGGGATTTCTTACCTACCCACAAAGGTCAATGCTATGAGGTACTGTTAGCAACACAGCCATGAACTGGCCAAAGACCACTCTATGGAGAATTAGCCTCAGTCTAGGACCTGGTTAGACGGCACA